CCATTGCCTCCTCATCCTTCAAGCCATGGAACTGGATAGAGGATGTAATGAGTTGAATCCAGTATGGCTTGATTTCAAAGTTGTTCGCTTGAATGGGCGGATAGAGGATGACAGGGCGGATGTCAGCAATCCGTGGAGTGTAGTAGTACTCCAAGATGGGACCCGGCGGCGGGGGATGATGATGAACCCCATCGTCCTGGGGTATGGGGTTGTTCCCCAAGATCTGATTCGCCGGGGAAACCTGGTGAGGATTCCCCTTGTGTGGATTGTGATCTCCTTCCATCTCGTACTCGTCCTCGGACTCGCTGCTCAAATAGCCGTCTATGCGCTCCTCCGTAGCCAGTCTAGCTCGTTGTTGTCTCCTAAGTTGGCGACAAGTGCGTTCAAGCTCCGAATCCAACGACAGTAAACCTCCTGACTGGCTACGGGTCATGCACTACCTGCACATAGTCAAGCAGCAAACCCGTGAAGGCACAAGTGGGACAAAGCAAACAATGCGAAAAAAGCTAAATTAACAGAATTCACGTTTCTTCAACAACCTAGCCGTCCCCGGCAACGGCGCCAAAAACTTAACTCACTCCTACTGTCACTCTAGAAAATGGCCAAGTGTAAACACTTCCTAAAGCGTAGTATAGCGAGTTTGGGTTTTAATGTCAAATCGGGTCCTAGATGTGATGACTACTCAGTGAATTCTTATTATCTAGCGGTGAAACTTTAGTGCAGGTTCAAACAAACAAAACAAGCAAAGCAATTAAAAGGTTGTTTTCAAGTCGAGAGAGGTCACCCGGATATGGTTCCCCCTAGAGTGCAGTTAAGCCGGATTGTAATTTACCAAGTTCAGTTTTAATGATAGTTATACTGCGGGAGGTTCTTAAACAGTCTGAAGTCTCAACTAAAGGTCTCCATACCCTCTCAATCTGAGTTCCCAGCGGGCGACTAACCTCCACCTGAGTAAACAGATTGAGGCCCTAACGAACCAAACCTCCACTACCGAAGTAAATTCGGTACAGGAATAGTGAATTGGCTCCTCGACTAAAGTCGCCACTTCACTACCTTCAATTAAGGGTGCTCTATTAACCTAGGCAGATATTCTCTTTCTAGGCTAAAGCAGAAATAACAGGAATTTGATCAGGATTCAAGTCATTCAATCATTCAAGCCTCAATTGAATATAATCAAATCATAAAATCTGTACTTGGGTTCATACAATCAGACCTAACATACAAATCTAACGTTCTCCATACCCAGATGAGTGGGAAAACTACTCCATGGTGAGAGAAGCGAAAGCAGATTCAGATGCGGAAACCATACTGTGAAGGATGGGTTTCTGCTCCAGGTCGTCAATCGGCACTTCTCCAAGCTCAATCCGGGCTCCAATGGTGATGAAGATCAAGCTAGAGCACTTGGGAACTCTGGTTTGTCGCTTTCTCTCTCTAGGAATTGCTCTGTCTCTCTAAAACTCGAAACTCCTTCTCCTTTGGCTCAAATCTGCCTAAAAGGCCGACCCTGGGAAAAACACGGTCGAGGGAACGGCCGTGCTTTGGTTTTGCTCGCCCGTGTTTTACCCCGTGTTAAAAACACGCCCGCGTCGGCCAAAACACGGTCGTGCCTAAATATGGACACGGCCATGTTTTGCTTTAGGCCAGCCCGTGTTTTGCTTTTCCATCATTTCAGCTCTCATCAATAAAAACACTGGCATGCCTGTTTGTGTACACGACCGTGTTTTGGTTTAGGCCAGCCAGTGCTTTCGCCCCAACTAGACCGAATGACTTCCAAATGCCCCGAAACTCATGCTTAGCCTTTCCTTCGACGTCTGGGACCTGAAATATGACAAAGTAGCACAACCCGGCGTAAAACGGGCCAAAAATACACGACTACTCGCTGCAAAAGGATAAGAACTAAGGGTGCAAACATGTGCAAATACATCGCTATAAGTAGAGCCCACATGCAATGCTTTGCGTCTTATGTAGGTCTGATGGTGGAGTTTGGGCCTGCATGTGGGGCGCTAGTTGGGATACATATTTCATCTGCGTGAGCAATAATAATCAATCTTATGCCACCAATGACTGCATTTTCAAACAATAATTCTTCATCATATTTTTATTCGTATTTAAGTTTAATATGCATTATTATGTTCGTACAACCATGTAGCGCGATGAGGCGAATGCAGGTGGCTTTGCTTCTTACTTTATAGCCTTTTAACACTGTCAGAAATAACGTCCTTAAGGAAGCAAAATTACTTGCACCTCAACTGGAAGCTGAAAGACTTGAGTACAAGGACGCCCATCGAAGGATGGCTGAGGAACGGGACCTACGCTTTGACTGTGAATAATCTGGGATTGTTTGAACTATTTTATTGGAATTTGCCTATTGTGGACTTTTGTTGGATTTATGTTTTGGATTTTATATTGATTTCTGTTTTGGATTTTATATGCCTTGTTTGCTAGTTGGATTTTAACTATGGTTTTGTCTTCCTTGGAAATTATGAATTTTAATGATGAATTTATCCAACGTGTGGTTTTGTCTTCTGATGGACTTTATGGTGCCTCTGAGGTGCTTTTACGTAACATGTGGTTTGTATAAATTAAATTGTGGTACTCTTTGTGGGATTTGTGGTTCTTGACTTTAACATGTGGTCCGACGATACTTGTGTTCTGCTTTTAACAACTAAGTCATTGACATGTATACTCTTTAACTTCATGGAGATAGGGGATGTGGTGAGCCATTATCATCTAGAGAAAGGAACCAAAGAAAAACATGGGCGAAATGAAACAAAGGGCAAGTGGTGTATGTCGAAGAAGGAACGTGAAAAGATGGAATGAAATATAAAGATACACGCTTAGGTTAAAAATTTAAAACAAAGAGACAGGCTAGAGATAAGTATTGAAACTGAAGAATAAAAAAAAGATATGTATGAAAACTGAAAGTGGTTGAGGTAATCATGAATAAAGAGACCCGCTAGCCGCTACCAATTAATAATTTCATCTAAAAAGTAAATACTTAGCACCCATTATCAAAAAAAAACAAAAAGAAACACTTACCGCCAAGTTAATTCTGGTCTTAATTATTACTTGCCTCCTACACTTCGATGCTACACCGGTTATGCCGCCCTACTAATAATTACTTATTATAGGAACTCGCAATGAATAGATTTGTGGTATGCTTTACGGTTTTTGATATGCTTCAGTAGGCTAGTGGTGTACTTTACGAAACTTCAGGTCTGCTATTGATAAACATTTACTAAGCTTTCAACCCTAACTGAAATGGTCCAAAGTTGAAAAAGCCCATTAAGCTTATGTGAGAACTCATAATTGGATCCGGGATTAGTTCATGACTTTAAGCCCAATCAGTCGCGTTATTTCGCAAACACGTTTTATCCTAACTATCCACCCATAGTACGATTAAAATTTTGTTTCCGTCGTCTTCTTTCTTCGGCCGAAACAAACCCTAAATATCACTGATAAAAAGGCCACAGATTGACCTGCAAAAAAAAGCTTCATGTGATACTAAGATAATATACCGACAATACAAGAACCTTGTGGTGTGCTTTTAAGAACCTTATGGTGCATTTTCATAAACTTGTTGTTCGCTATGTAGGACTTGTGACGTGCTTTAGAAAACTTGTGATAAATCTCTGTCAGTTGTATGAGAGCGCGGATTGCATCACGAATCTAAGGACAATAAACGTGAATAACCATATATTTGTACATTTATCGAAGTCGAATCAATTGGTAGTAATAAATGGGGGCAACGGGTTGTCGGTATGGAGAAGGCGGCGGCGGGACAGGGTGAGAGAGATGGAAGCTAGACAGAGGCAGAGAAATGGTTGGTGGTTTGAGCGAAGGAGAAAAGGTTTGCCTCATTAGGGTTGGGTCAAAAAGGTGTAAACCTAGCCGGTGAACCAAAGTGACAGAACTAGACTTCAATGTAAAGTTTGTGAGTGAAAAGATGCGTATTGTAATTAACATGGTAATTAATAACCCATTGCACAGAAAAACGGATCCAGAATTTCTCCGACCGTCCAAATCGCGCGTAAGGTGGTGATTAGGTGGTGTACGACATACACCACTTTTTAGGGGTTGTACGATTAGTGGTGTACTACATACCCATACTCCATGTGATATGACTGTTAGATCTCCTTTTTAGAGCTCCGACCAATCTCATCGATCAATGAATATTTTCTATCAAATTGAACTTAGGGTTTGAGTTTCGAAAATTGGGGTCTGGGGTTTATCCATTAGAGGTTAGGATATCGTATATTTATTTAAATTCATTAAGTGTTATTGATTTTTACTCTTTTATATATTTTGCTAAAACTAATGTGAACCGAGATAAACTTAATTGTAGTACTGATGGAAACATTACATGGACGCGATTTTTTTGTGCAAGGTCTGCGATGGCAAACCGGCTCGGGAGAGTTGGTAGATGTGCTAACAAACAATTGGGTGTGAGCGTTACATCCTTTTCCCTCAAAGCCCCGTCATGACATCATAGGGTCGAGGGATCTGTTGCATCTTTAATATGCCTAAACTGTTACATCCCAACATTTGGGTTCAGGGTCGACATTAATAAACGAATGGTTGGATCAACGGTTATGAACGAGAAACCCAAATCAAAGTAGACCAAGTTAAGGACCAATGCCTAAATAATTGATGCGATCCAAATTGACCATCGCTGACGGAAGGGTTGAGACCGTGGATTAAGAGTGATAATAATAATAATTAGTTCTATTATTTTTATGTCCACAAGGTTCCGGAGAAGATGATCATATCGATGGGTCGAAGATTGGGTACGAAAACTCAAATGGACCAAATCAAAGCTACGATATTTTATTAAGCATTTTAATTAGGTGGGTAGCCTAATTAGTTAAGCATGTTAATTACGACAAATCGTAACACCCGGTCATAGGACACTTGTGAAATACCTAAACTAACCTCTTACACATTGCACGTTTTGGCAATTAGTATATAAACTAATAATAGCGAAACCCTAAAACTCACCGGCCACACTTCTCCATCTCAATTTCCGCTAGTAGCCAAATCCCAATCCCATGCATTTCCCTCCCGATCACAAACCGCCGCTCAACCCTTTCTCCTCAGCTCGTCAAAATCCCTCCTCTCCGTCCCGTAAAAAGAGTTCTGTGCAAGGAATCCTTCTCCACCAAGAAAACCAACCGGCTATTCCTTGTCCTCGTCACCATCACCGTCCCACCAGAAGTCGTTGCCAAATGCGCTCCAGGAAGGGATCGATTGGGGGGAAAAGAAGGGTAGGGGTTGATGTCGGGACAATAAAGGGATAGATAAAGCCAAGCTGACTCGTTGAATTATAGTTGATGGTAGTCCTACAGGTCATTAGGGTACGCTAGAGAGAGGAGGTGGACCGTTAGTGAGGCTAGCTTAATTGTGTGGATTTTGGATGGAAGCTTAGTTGGAGTACTGCTCCAATTCTCACCTCGCACAATTGACAACTGATGGTAAGAAATAAAAAGACTAAGGTGGAGATTTAGAATAGCAGCAGCCGAGGATGAGTAAGACAGTTACGGGTGCAAGAGTATACATCGAGAAGCGTAGGTTCTTGTGAGTTCAAGCCAATCGGTTTGGCTAGTCAGGTGAGTGTAAAGGGGTAAATTTTATGTCTTACGGTTTTCAAGTATTTGCCTTGAGTATTTTTGAGTATTGATTTACGTGATGTATGTACAGTATTTGATTCATGTTTGAGATTGCATAATTATGGTTGATGATATGTGCCTTGTTTGAATTATAACTTGAAGTGGATGGTTATTCTTTACTTTGAAATTTTACGAGTATAAGTTATTGTTAAAGTTTAAGAAACAAGTTATCTTTAAGAAGTAACTCACCTTCAAGAAGGTGAAGTCGTTTTAAGTGGTTTTAGCCGCTAGCGCCAGTCCATTGCCATTTGAGATTTTCATATAGAGCAGCAGTTATGCTCTTGAGATCTTTGAGAGAGAGCAACAGTTATGCTCTTGAGATATTTAAGTTGAGCAGCAGTTATGCTCTTAAGATTTTTAAGATGAGCAGCAGTTATGCTCTTGAGAATAGTGGAAGAAGATCCTTCCACGATGAGTTTAAGGAAAGCTTGGAGGGCTTCTCATACGTATGAGTTGGCAACCGGACTAGCTATGAGGGATCCTCGTGTCAGTCAAGTATTTGAGTCGAGATTTGAGCTTTAAGAATAGAGAGTAACAGTAACTCCCATACAGTTTTAAGAGTGGAAATACAAACAACTTCCACCAATTTAAGTAAGTGTTTTAATTAAAGTGCTAAGCATTAGAAGTTTAAACGTAAGGGCGTAGACTGACCCCATCTCACTCACCAGTTTGAAGAGGAAGAGCAAGAGGAGTAGTTAGAGAGCAACGAGAGCTAGACAAACCGTTCGGAGGGAGCTGTCACGACCCGAAATGTCGTGACCGTGTTGATCGTCTGAAGAACGCTGCCATCTGGTTGTCTTGCCATGAGAGGGATAAAGGGGGCGACATTAGCGATAAGGCGTTGTCTGTCTGTGCATCGCATCTGGCCGAGTCAGGATGTGGCTATGAAGGGGATCGTTGCAAGACAAGGCACAACTGGTTAGAGGCTATTGTCGTCTCCCTGATGAGCCCAAGGCAGGGCAAAACCAGTTGGCATGCGTATGGAGAGAGGCTGGTCTTGAGGAATGAGTGCACCTGAAGATGCCGCACGGACTTCGGAAGTCTATGTCCGAGACAAGTGGTATCAGAGCGTGGTTAGGCTGAAGAGCCTAGTTCCTCTCTCAGTACGGCATAGGTCGTGTACGGGCCGACCCTATGCCCGAATGAGAGGCGGTCCTGGGTGAGCATATCAGACGGTCCGGACGCAGATACACATGTGTTGCGCCGTTGTGGGGGACCTCGACAGGCTGAAGATGCAGCAGCCGAGAATGTCGTTCAACCGAGAAACTAACGCTAGCGAAAGCGTAGGGTGAAGGTCGATTGAGGTACAAACGCTGGGAGTAGCGTAGGGTGAAGGTCGACTGAGGTACTAGCGCAGCATAAGTAAAGAGTGAAGGTTGATGTCGAGGGGCGAAGCGATATGTGCGTGGGGCACAGCAGGATAGTGCGAGAGACGTGACCGGAGCCTGTCCATCAGAGGATGGTATCGTATGCGGACGCCCACAATTGGTTCAAGTGTTGTAATACATGCTGCGGAGAGAAGCATTCTTCACCAGCACGAGGTCGTGCTGCATTATGAGTGGTGGAGAATGTCACGACCCGAAATTTCGTGACCGTGTTGATTGTCTGAAGATTGCTGCCATCTGGTTGTCTTGCAATGAGAGGGATAAAGGGGGCGGCATTAGCGATAAGGCGTTGTCTGCCTGTGCATCGCATCTGGCTGAGTTAGGATGTGGCTATGAAGGGGATCGTTGCAAGAGAAGGCACAACTGGTCGGAGGCTATTGCCGTCTCCCTGATGAGCCCAAGGCAGGGCGAAACCAGTTGGCATGCGTATGCAGAGTATCGTATGCAGACGCCCACAATTGGTTCGAGTGTTGTAATACATGCTGCGGAGAGAAGCATTCTTCACCAGCACGAGGTCGTACTGCATTATGAGTGGTGGAGAATGTCACGACCCGAAATGTCGTGACCGTGTTGATCGTCTGAAGATTGCTGCCATCTGGTTGTCTTGCCATGAGAGGGATAAAGGGGGCGACATTAGCGATAAGGCGTTGTCTTCCTGTGCATCGCATCTGGCTGAGTCAGGATGTGGCTATGAAGGGGATGGTTGCAAGAGAAGGCACAACTGGTAGGAGGCTATTGCCGTCTCCCTGATGAGCCCAAGGCAGGGCGAAACCAGTTGGCATGCGTATGTAGAGAGGCTGGTCTTGAGGAATGAGTGCACCTCAAGATGCCACACAAACTTCGGAAGTCTATGTCCGTGACAGAGCCTGCTAGAGGAGAACGGTACGAGCATCGTGGAGGACGTCAACGATCGAATCAGAGCAAGCATCTGTTGGGACTTCTAGTTATTGTACTTTATGTTTAATAGTAAGACTGGAGATTAAGGTTTGAGTTTGCCCATATGTTAGGGCGTTGCTTTGAACTACAAGAAAGTGATTTCAGGATTTTGTTTATGAAAAGTTTTCCCGCTCTTTTTAGTGATAATGGTTGTTGAGTATTTTTAGTTTAACAAGGGTATTTTGGTAAAAGTAGTACCCGGCCGGGTTAGGGTGTTACATAAACCAAGGGATTTGGAGGGTGGATTACTTACGTCAAATCTTTGAAGAGGATATTGTCGGGGCTATTCTGACTATTCTTTTGCCTATTTATCCAGTGGTTGATCGTGTGGTATGGAGTGGCGAACAATTAGGTATTTATACTGTCAAGTCTGGCTACTATTTAGCAGTGGAGTTGAGGAAGGGGAACGAGCTCAGGTGAAGGCCAAAGTGCAGGTATGGGATCGTAGCCTCTGAAAAAGGATTTGGGCGTCTCCAGTGGCGGATACATGGTGCTTTAGTGGCGTCCCGAGACACCCCTAAAATTTGGAAAAACGATTATCCAACCCCTAGCAGTAGTTTCGTATGGATAAACAAAATATAATAAGTAATCTGGGACACCCCTAAAATTTGAAAAAAATGATTATCTTACCCTCGATAGTAGTTGGCGTATGATTAAAAAAATATAACTGGTAGTCTGTGTTATTCAAATCTAGGACACTACTATTATTAAACATATTCTCCATTAGGTTATAGCTCATGTGTTGTTCTATTTTAAACACACTGTGTAATAGTAAAAACACGATTCCTTATCCCTAGGGGTACCCCTAATTTGATTTGATTTTATTGATGTTCATGCATGTGCTACATCTACTTTACGAGAAGATGAGAACTTTACGAGACTTGTTCCAGGAGTTTAAGGTTATTTTTGTTCAAAAAAGTTAATATTTTAACAGGCAGATCCGTTAGTAGATACTAACAGGGTCCAGATTGTGGCCACGTTGGCCCAAGCTTGACCCAAGGGGTGAGGTGAGCGGGCTCTTATTAGCTCACTTAATTGAGTTGTTGGAGGCTTTCTTGGGCAAGCTGGCCCAGCCGATGGAGCTTAATTATTGGATGTGGGTCCACAAATAAAAGAGAAAGGGAAGGGAGTTGATTATGTGAAAGAGGAATGGAAGAGAGAGATAACGAAAATTGGAAAGAAAAATGAAGTAAGTGATTGGGCATTTAATGCTCAACCCTTCTCTCTCTTTGTTTTCTCTTTTCTCTATATCTCTCTTTTCTCTTACAATATCCAACCACTTTTTTCTCTCTCAACCCCTTTTTCTCTAATCCAATGCCCAACCACCGTTTAACTCTGTGATATTTATGTATGTTTGTGTGTAGATTTATCATTTTTCCAGTCGATATTATTTTGTGTTGTGTTGATATTAGTTTGTATCATTGTTGAAATGAACTAGTATCTGTGTTACCAAAACTCGTATCCATCCTTCACAAACCAGTATCCATCATTCAACTAATATTTACTAAACCCCAAAATAACTCAATCATCCAAAACTCATTACACCAATTTAGGGTTTAGGGTTCGGGTTTACAATTTAGAGTTTAGGATTTAGGGTTTCAGGTTTAGATTTTGATTTTTGGTTTAGGGTTTAGGGTTGGGATTTTAATATCAGGGTTTTGGTTTAGGGTTTAGGTTTTAGGGTTAGGGTTTACAATTTAGAGTTTGCGGTTTAGGGTCATGGTTATAGATTTACGGTTTGGGTTTTGGTTTAGGTTTAATGGAGTAGAATTTACGGTTAGGTTTATGGTTTAGAGTTTAGAAGACGATATTTTGAAAATGGTTATGAACACAATATTGGGTGATCGATATTTATCTATGGTGTTAGGATATTATTATGTGATGAGAGGATATTAGTTTGTGATGTATGAATATTTGTTTGTGTAGTCGGATATTAGTATGCGACTGTCAAATATTATCCTGTGTGTGGTGGATATTATTTTATGATAGTGAGAATATTAATTTTGGATGATTGGATATTAGTCTGGGATGGTAAGATATTAGTCTGGGTGGTGCGGATGTTTGTTATGGTGAACGGATATTAGTCTACGACGGTGGGATATTAGTCTTGGTTGTTTGGATATTTGTTTTGTGTGGATGTTTATCTACTAAATTATATCTTTGTAGGCACGGACTCATATCCAGACCTAAATTAGTATTCGGACATAAAATAACTTACATTCCGCTACACACAACTAAATATCACAAAACTAATATCTAGTATGCACAAACTCATATCCATACCTCACTTAAGTAATATTATGACCACAAATAACTAATATCAGTTACTAATATCCAGACCGAGCATACTGATATCTAGACATTATATTACTAATATTCAAGTAAACACAATTGATATCACAATATTAATATCCAAAAAGCACAAATTAATATTGAAACCTCACATAACTAATATTTGGACCTCACATAGCTTATATGAGATGATGATAACTTCCAGACAACGTGTACTAATATCCATACATTCCATGACTAATATCCAGACCTAACAGAATATATCCAGTCGATCAATTACGAAACAATATCCACATTCAAACAACCGGTATCCCAAGTCTTCTAAAATGATATCGAGCATGCAATGAACCAGTATTCCACGAAGCAGAAAGAAACTAATATCAACACTAAAATCAACTAGTATTCCAAATCGATGAAAAGATATCCATGATGACCCTATCTAGCATTATATACCGACAATCTACAAAATAAACAAACAAACCTCAGATCCCCCAAATTTGAATCCATGAAACCCTAATTTCTCACATAACTAATATCCAGAAAGCAAAGATTAATATCGACACCTCACATAACTAATATTTCGACCTCACAAAACTAATATGAGAGAATAATTTCCACACAGCGCAGACTAATATATAGACCTAACATATTAATATCCAGTTAATCAATTACGAAACAATATCCACATTCAAACAACTGGTATCTCAGGCCTACTAAATGATATCCAACATTCAAACACTACTGTTTCTTCGAAACACTAAATCAGAATCCAAGAAACAAAATCGAAAGAAAAATGGAACCGAAGATATCGAATCCCTTCATGGTATAACAATGAGGACGGTATGGATCTGCAAAAATGTCATATCTCGCTCGCATTTGAAGCTTCTTGCCCCTTTCTCCTAAATGAAAATAGAACAATCTCCTTGAGAAACTCGATTGAATCAAAATAAGCAAGATGAAGAATTAAATTGAGGAGAGAGAGGAGGGACACTTTACCATTTTCTTGTATGTTTCTTTTTCATCTTACTTCAACCACCTATGAGAACTTTGTGAGATGTGATTTTCATATCTTTGGTTGGAAAGAGCTCTGGAGGGTTCTCCAATTTGAGCTCCGGAGGCTTCTTCGATTTGAGCTAAGAATAGAGAGAGCAGATGAGGAGAGAGAGAGAGAGAGAGGCATAGAGAGATGAAAAAGAGTGAGATACAAATAGATCAGACTAGGAGAGGGAGAGAGATGCATGGAGAAATGAAAAGAGTGAGAGAAGCTAGATCTGAAACTCAAATGTTGGGTTATTTTGAGAAAAGTGGTTTTATTTGAATTAATAGGCCACTTGTCTTGACAGGTAGAAGGGGGCTTGGTTTAGCCAAGCTGATCAGCCACTATTTCCCCTCACATGCCGGAGCTCCTCCTCCCCCATCCTCAGGTCTCGGTTCGGCCACGTGGACAACAATCATGTCTTGTCAGTATCTACTAACAGTTTGAGTTGTTAGCATTGTAACTAAATTGACTTTTGTTGGTCGTGACTATAACTAGGGGTGGAACTAGGTACGATATCGGTATCCCAATATTAAATACTGAAATCCCGAATATCAAATTACACCCTAAAGTCAATCCCAATCTCAATCCCTAAATATTTTGGTATCCCAATTTGTATTATTGAATACGAAATTAATTACCTTTGTAATTAATAATTAAATATATAAATTAGATCTATTGTTTAATTTAGGGCAAAGAACTAAGCAACGAGTCTTGAGTTTGCCTAGAGGTAGGATATGAATAAGGAGAATGGAGGAGAGGTCACATCTCAAATTCTTGTCATTGTTAAAATTTAATTTGACGAATTGGATGCTGAGAGACGACTAATACTAGTGTTTTTATGAAAATAACAAGAGATTAGGTAAGAGACGAGAGTGAATTAAACTGGAAAGTCAAATTTGAGTTGGACGGGACTTCTAAGTTGGGACTTTTTCCAGAAATAGCACTGTTTTAAAAAAAAAATCCAAAAATAGCACCCAACCCGAAAAATTCCAAAAATAGCACCCTTTCATGAAAACCGCCCGGGTAGGGGGCGGTTTTGCTGACCGCGTGGGGACAGGGCGGTTTGGTTGCAAACCGCACCCCCACCTAGGGCTGGCTATTTGGTCCGGACAGTTTGGTTTTACCCGAAACCGGACCGGACTGGGACCGGATATCAAACAATCCAATCTCATATTCGGGCTTAGATTTGAGGTAAAAACCTGGATAAAGACCGGATAAGAGACCCCCAACACCTAAAATCAAGATCAAATTGGGACCGGACCGGATCAAGACCGGACTGTATCCAATCCAATCTTTGGTCCTTATATTCCCGAAAAGACCGGACTAGGACCGGATCAATTTGGTCCAATTTAACCGGACTGGACCGTATAGCCACCCCTACCCCCACCTGGCGGTTTGTATTTTATATATATACACTGACGTACGCTAGCCTTTGACATATATATATATATATATATATATATATATATATATATATATATATATATATATTATTTTCCAAATAAATACCATAAGTTGTCTGGACACAACTGGTTTAGCTGTTTATTGTGTGCAAGCAGTCATAGGTTTGAATCCACATCATCCCATATTAAGTCTTTTTATTTAGTAGAGATTAGAAAAAGTAGCATGTTGTGCGGATGGTGGTTCGAACCCAGATATAATAAATAGTTAACTAAATTTACCACAACCTCTACACAACCAAACTACAACTCTTCTTTTGAAAGAATAATATATTGACAAAGTTTGATTTTTTGAACGCTAAAAATCCTCAATAATTT